AAGAGTTGGCATTTTCTTTTTTATTATTAAAGCTTCCATTAGTTTAAATCTTTTTTTACAAGTGGATGCAGTTATTACATTTGTGTTTTCTACTAGTATGTTTCTAATGGAGTTTGGTAAGTTTGTGTGTGTGTTTAAATGGGTCCTCATGGAGCTATGATCAGATAGCTGAATGTAAGGCATATTGATAAGCATGTAGTTGTGTAACCGATGTAATTATTTATGAGTCCAGTTTGATCAGGAACATTGTTCCTTAAGAGGTATTTGAACCTGAGAGACCTACTCAAAGCCAAAGGCTTGAAGATCTGTTCCCCCGGCAACAACCACAGTAATATCTTAACAACAAAACTAAAAAAGGCAGCAAAAGAACTAAAAAACAACCCCATCATCATCATCATCATCAGATGAGCTGATAAAGCTAATACATACATAATTTTGGATAAAGCCGATTACCACAAAAAATTACAAAATATTGTCAATGATCGAACTAAATTCACCAAACTGAAAAGAAATCCCACTGAGACCTTAAAAACGTGCATCAACAAACTAATAACAGCTCACAACATGGAAGTCGGTTCCTTGAAAATTCTAAAAATCATTGGAGACTTCCAACCTGGATATTTATATGGAAATATGAAAACCCATAAACATGGATATCCGCTATGACCAATTATTTCCCAGATCCCAACACCTATCTACGAGCTATCAAAATTCTTGAACAACATCATCACACCATACCTACCCACCAATTACAGCATCACATCCACCCATGAATTCCTCCAAATTTTAAAATTATTAAACCAAACCAAGGTATAATAGCTGCACCTGATGTCAAAAACATATTTACAAATGTCCCCATCGATCAAGCCATTGACATTATCCTCAATTCTGTGCATGCTAATAATTCTATCCCCCCCACATCCATCAAACCATCTATACTAAAAAAATTACTACACACATGTACAACCAAAGTTCAATTCTATCAACATAATAACAACATTTACACCCAAACTAATGGAATAAGTATGGGAAATCCACTTGGTTTAGTTTTTACACACTCTGGCCAGAAAAGAAAGCTCTTAGTCAAACACAAGAAAAATTAAATAAAAAGCTTAACCGTAGTAGCTTGTCATTTGTTTTTAATGAAACATGCATAAACGAAGGATTGCTGCCTAAATAACTATATATATATATATATATATATATATATATATATAGTCTGTATATGCTTGTGTGTGTGTATATATATATATATATATATATATATATATATATATATATATATATCAAATATGTGGTGCAGTTCAATTTATATTACAATGAATCATTCTCCAAAAAGTGTCTTAGTAAAGTTAATGTCATAAAATTTCTCAAACAAAATTTTAAAGGTGCATTATCCTACAAATCACTTGATGAATCTTTTGATCTTTGATTTTTAAAATTATAAGCTGTATAAGGTCTTTCTTTAATATGCAAGAACTTTCAACAGTACCTTCAGTAATCTACAAGCATGGAAATTATTTTGTTTTTAGTAAAATTTAGTTATCATCCAAGACGAAAAATTTAAATGCGCTTCAAAATTTTTTTTTTTTTAAATGTGTTATTGTTAACGGATACAAATTTTTGAAGTATCCAGTCGCAATGCTAAGGTTGAATTTTGATTTTAAGAGAATTTTTAAAGATTTTTTTAGTGTTTATATTTATTTTTTTTATATATATATATATAAATATATATATATATATAGTTTTATATATATATGCATATATATATATAAGTATATATATAATATATATAGTGTTTATATATATATATATAGTGTTATATATATATATATTTATATATATATATATAGTGTTTATATATATATATATATATTTATATATATATATATATATATATATATATATATGTTTATATATATATATATATATATATATATATATATATATATATATATATATATATATATATATATGTTTATATATATATATATATATATATATATATATATATGTATTTATAGATATATATATATATATATATATGTATATATTATATATATATATATATATGTTTTTTTATTATATATATATATATATATATATAGTATATATATATAGTGTTTTTAGATATAGATATATATAGTGTTTTTAGATATATATATATATAGTGTTTATAGATATATATATATATATATATATATAGATATATATATATATATTTATATATATATATATTTATGAATATATATATATAGTGTTTATAGATATATATATATATATTTATAGATATATATATATATATATATATAGTGTTTATAGATATATATATATATATAGTGTTTATGAATATATATATATATATATATATATAGTGTTTATAGATATATATATATATATTTTATATATATTATATATATATATATAGTGTTTATAGATATATATAGTGTTTATAGATATATATATATGTTTTATATATATATATATATATAGTATATAT